AAATGAATGAATGAATGAAATGAAATGAATGAATGAAAGAAATGAATGAAATGAATGAATACACAGATAGATAAGACAAATTGTAAAGATAGATAGATGAGTGGAGAGATGGAAATGTAGTAAAATTTTATTGTTCGAAATGAGAGAAATGAAGAAGCGGTTTGCTCTTAGCCAGCTTTTGCTCTTGCTTTCCAAGGGCGCTTAAAAGAGCTATAGTAGCTTAAAAGAGCTATACCTCGGCTGCTATTAACTAGTTACCTTTCCCTTCCTCTCTCCCCCCTCTTCCTCTCTCTCTGTCTCTCTCCCTCATACAATTCTCACTTTCATTTTTCATTTCGCTTTGCAATATATTTATTCATTAAATTTCATTTATTAAATACTATTGTTTACAGATGAATCATGGGAAATACTGGTAGTTCACTTACTGATCTAAACTTATTCTCTAAAGGTGGCATTTTTACGCGAGATCAAATTGATGAATATCAGGTTAATCACTTTTCCTCTTATCATACCATCATTAATTGACACTGTAAGAAAATATTATTACTAATAAGTAATAAGAGAGATCATATTTTATTATTAAGTGAATATGAGAGCAATGGTAATATATATTTATTGGTAACGTAACACGCATTTTATTGATAACGAACATATTGATAAGGCAAAAAACCATTACTCGTCTTATCATTAAATGTTACAACAAAATATAAAATGTTTGTTATCAATAAAATGCGTGTTACTACTGATTACATTAAAATGTTTCATAGATATTACGAAAACTATTTTTATAATACTGCAGTACTGTGATGTGCAATAAATAGTACAATAACTACAATAGTGCAGTAATTGTCTCTTACAACAGTTCTTTGATCGCTAATTGATATATTGAAATCGAAATGAGTAAATCTTACTAATTACCTTATCACTGATAAGTATGCCAAAACAATTAATCATAAATGTTTTCTTAAAAATAATTTGATCTTTCACATTATATGGGTGAAGTTTAAGTAGGTGTAGGATGCATAACTGACGTTGATATATGATGAACGTGAAACGTGACGAACGTAAAGAAGGTGTGGTTAATTATAATATTAGTTTTTTTTTTGTTTTATTTTATATTGAACGAATCTGAAAAGAGGTGACAGAGTAGGTTTTTAATTTTTATTGAAAAAAATTAAAAGAGGAAAAGTTTGATTGCTATTTTAGGATTGTACATTTTTTACAAGAAAAGATATCATACGCTTGTACAAACGGTTCTATGCACTCAATCCGATTAAAGTACCAACAAATATGCAAGGAAACCGTCCGGCTATTATAACATTATGTTTCGAAGAAATCGAGAAAATGCCAGAGTTACGGGTACTGCTTTTTAATTTTAAAAGATGTGAGTATAAATTGATTAAAAAATTTTGCAAATTTTCCGAGTGTAAAATTTCAGTATATTTTCAGGAAAATCCGTTTCGACGACGGATTTGTCAAGTGTTTTCGGATGATGGCGCAGGAAATTTAACATTTGATGATTTCTTGGATATGTTTTCCGTTTTTAGTGAGATGGCACCGCTACAGCTCAAATTGAAATACGCATTCCGAATATACGGTATACTTTTTGCCACCTTACTATTCAATTAATAATAATTGACTGATATGTGGAATTGAAATTTTTTGAAATAAATTTTTTGTGATCAAATTTATAGAAATATGAAAATTATGAAATAGAAATGCGAAAATTTATGGATACGAAGATTTTTATAGATTTTGATGGTGATGACCAGCTTGGTCATGATGATTTAAGCAAAATTATCCGATGTTTAACACGTGATGAATTGTCGGATGAAGAAGTTGAATTTATCATTGAAAGGGTATCATAACGCATTCTCACTTTTTTAATTAGCAATTTTTTCTCAGTAAATCAATTATATATGGAACAGTAATATCTTTTTTTTTATATTCATTATATTAATAATTGAGAATGATTGATCATTAATAGTTGAGAATGATAAATTATTACAAATAAAATCATAAAAATGTAAATAGATTTCTTTAAAAAAATGCAATAATGCAATTTTTAGTTTATGCTTGAATTCCCAAGATTAAAATTCGATTCAGAACTGAATTGAGAAAGAATGTTGAAAATGATATGATTACTGTCCAAATTTATAGATGTGAAAATTTTTATAGATTTCTCAGTTTCATTTCAAAACAACCATTTTCACCTTTTCAGTTTCCCAAAACATTTCTCGTATCGATTTTTCCTTTTTTCAGGTAATCGAAGAAGCAGATCTCGATGGTGATGAGCAAATATCATACGCCGAATTCGAACATGTTGTTTCGCGTTCACCTGATTTCATCCGTACTTTTCATATTCGTATTTGATGGGACAGAATGAGCTTTTATTTATTATTCATTCAAATAAATTGGATCCCTGTCAATTAGTATGATAATTATTCAAAGGTTTGCACCACCTTGACTTTGTCAATTTGCTACAGGTATCAATCTTTCAGCAATATTTTTTCCGCCTGTATATATATGTCCCAAAATACCTAGGATCAACATATCAGCGCATTAAAATGATAAGATTTTGCGTTGCATAATTTGCAAATTAACAGTTCAAAGCTAATTTACTGACGCATTGCAAAGCTATTTTAAAATGTCAGAAAATTATTGTAGATTTCGCCTTCTATAAGTTCTTGCTAATAGGATTTTTTTTATACTGAATTGAAAGAAATGCGAAACTTGTGAACATCAATTTGTAGTAAACATCACTGAATTCAACATTTATTCTGCAATGAAAAAATTTAGAAAATTAAATGTAAAGTATAGACCCGTCATGCAAAATAATTCACAGCCATCATTTGCTACAATACGAACTGTGCAAAAAAAATTTAATGCAATGCTTATAAAACCTCTGATATCCCAATAACTCCCTCTAATATTTAAAAAATCTGTGAACAACAATATTATTATAACAATATTACTAACGAAAAAATCATGCCTTCAATTTTAAGCATTTTCAGTGACCTGTAATGATTAGCTTTCTCTCCAAAAAGTTAAAATGATAGCAATTTTAACATTTTTCAAAATCATCAGCACAGAAAGCTCAGTTTCTTAAAACTAACAATTCTCCACCAAGAAAATGATATACACTTGCAACATAATAATAATAAAATAGAGATGGATTTGCTCAATTAAGTTACTTAGAAATATATGGAAAATAAAAAATAAACATTTGACAACATGAGACGTATTTCTGGAATTATAAATTGGGCCTAAAACATGATCCAAAACTAGAAAAATAAAATTCTACTGTCTACTGTTTATGAGAAGAATGTTCTCCATCATCATTTGTTTCAGTAGTTCTTTGTTTCGATAGAGGCCTAAAGAAAACTGTATGACGGAAAAATTGAAAGAATTTCAAATGAAATTCATATGAATTCATAATTTTAAGTCGATATTTTAAATCGATGACTCACATGAATGGTTCTTTCCTCCTTGCTAATTCATTGTAAACAGTTAGTGCTTGGGCAACCATACCGCTTGCATTAGCCAAATCAGATGGTACGATTATTGTATTCGTATGTTTGGCTATTTGTCCGAAAGCTGTTACATATTTCTCAGCCACCGATAAAGCTGCCGCATCATAGCCACCCGTTTTGTTTAACGGTTCCGAAACCAGCTTAATAGCCATAGCTTGAGCTTGCGCATTTATCTGAATCGCTTCCGCCTAAAATTAAGGATTAGCTTCATTAAAAAATAGCGCGGTCAATGCGACTTTCAATCTTATGCGCTTTCTCGAAATAACTTCACTGAAACAGAATGTTTTGGTAATAAAAAATTTCAATTTACAATAGATTTTCTAAATAAAATTTGAAGTATCGTCCTCAAACCATTTGTGACTTTAAATCAGCTACCTTGCCCTTGGCTTCGTTAATTTTTTCCTGCATCGAAGCTTCTGAAACTAGAATGCGTGCACGTTTTTCACCTTCTGCGATATTAATTGCTGCCTCACGTTTACCCTCTGACTCCAGAATTGCCGCCCGCTTCCGCCTTTCTGCTTCCACTTGCATCTGAAATGCACTTCACAATCTCACATTACTTTCAATCGATTTTTATCTTGTAAAAACAGCTCTTCTTCTGTAACATTCTCTTCTAATGTAAGTATTCTTTGTCTCTGACAAGAATACTTCTCGAGCACCTCGAACTCACTCATGAGATAGTGAAGTTCAACATGAACTGATTAACTTTTAGGAAATATTAATATTAACTTTTACGAAATATTAATATTCATGTTGAAACGTATTACAGTGACTATAGAAAATTAGAATATAGTGGAATATATACTTACTAAACTTCTGGAAATTCTTATAGAAAAAAAGAACCTGCATTGCTTCCTGAATTTTTATGGGCATTGTCATGTCCCCTGAAATTTGATACAACTTCACTTTATTAACTCATTGCTTTTAAAGTAAATTTTACTTCCATTTTATTAAACAGCTAAAATATCGAAAAACAAATCGATTAATATGAAAGCAGAGAAATAATCTACTCAACAAAATCTGTCTCAAAATCGCTACTACTTAAATGACTTCAACACTCCAAATCTTTAAATTTAGGTCTTAATCGATTAAAAGAAATACTTACTAATTTCATATCGCATACACTGCAATCCCCATGGCTCAGCCGCTTTATTTATTGACTCTGTAAAGTATGAAAATTCCAGGCAACTCATCATCATTTTTAGTTCTTTTATCCTGGAAATGCTAACAGCTAAAGTTAATTCCAATTTCAATGCGAACATGCTGTCATTTCACTTTGCCTACCGGCTATGGCTTGTCACATAAGACAAATCATCTGGTAATTAATCAGTTGATAATAACCCAAAGAAGTACTATAAAACCGATCTCTGTGGTACAAAAACGATCCCATTATTGTTATTAAAATATACCGACAATATTAATGTTGAGTTGCTCGCGTTCCTTAAATACGGTGTCTAAATTAATTTTGCCTACTTCCGAACGCATCGTTGTCTGTGCAAGCTGTGTAATCGCATATTCTGGATCTTCAACGCCATACGAAGCCTGGATCAAAACAAGTTAAACTAGAATCTTATATCGACCACAAATTAAATCTTGAAAAAGAACTATATTTCATGGAAGAAAACTGCGAATTACCATATTTGCACCTTCAAATATGATAATTTTTCTTCCATGAAATATAATTCTTTTTCAGTAATTAATTTCAAAATACGAAATACAAAAACAAATATAAAGCGAAATTCATTTCACAACTCGTAAAAATGCGAAAAATAGTTGCTTCACATACTTTGTAGGGATCAATTACTCGCAGATAGAGAACGCCATCAATCTGCAATTGCACATTATCACTCGTCACGGCACCCTGTTGTGGTACTTCAATTGCCAACTCTTTCAGTACCTGCACATATTTAATACGATCGAGAAATGGCAGGAGAATATTGAATCCCTGTAAAATTTTACTTTTGTAATCAATTTTGAAACAAAACACGCTAAGTCACCAAAGTCAATAATAATTTAATTGCATGATCGACTATTCGATTAAAAGTTCATATTAGAGTATTCAAGTTGAAATAAATATTTACAGGATCTAAAATAGAATGAAATTTTCCCATGCGCTCAATTATCCAAGCTTCCTGCTGCGGGACAAAATTTATGATAAAATTTGTTTTGCCACGAACAATTCCTCTTCGTTGGATCACGATAACACTATTCCTAAAACAATAACTCTTGGAACATCCATTTTGGATTGTGAATTACTATAAATATAAAAATAAAAAAACAAAAAAACAGTCTGAAGTGGAATGAATTAAAATTAAGTTACAATGAGACCAGGAAAACAAATGAAATAAAGCATAATGGAATAAATGAACAGAAATAATGCGAAGAAAAATTAAATGAAATGTAATGGGAAATACTCAAGTAAACTAAAATCAGCCGATTCAAACTGAAGCAATCAAAATAAACTGTAAATGGTAATAAAATCAAGAAAAGTAAAGTCAGCAAATGAGAAGTGCGATAAAATCAAGCAGAATTTAAATCAATTAAATTAAAAAATGACAGTGGAAACAAAAAATCAAACAAATTAAAATCTTAAAAACAAAGCTCAAACAGATGCTCACATAAATGGTTCCAAAGAATTTAAATATGTGCGGAAATGACCAAATGATGACGAGTTAATGCTTCTCTTCAACGATGATACTAAAGCCATATTCCTAAAAACAACAATGTTTAGTTTCATTCAAATCAAAAAGCAACCGATTCCGGATTATCCTGTCCCGAATGTCAAATAAACTGTAATGCAAATGATCAGCCATAACTTTATATTCTTGACATACTGTGAATCAAATTATCTAGATAAATAATCAATAACAATATAAAGAAAGCCGATGTACAATGAATTAATGAATTAAACGAAAATGAGATAGGGTAATGGCCGGGTCGTTATTTCGTCATGTAGCAAAGAATGCGGTTGCGTCCCATACGTGTCATAAAATTTCCATCTAAAACTGCTATGGTCATTGTAATATGATTAAAATGGTAGTATGTTAGCTTTTTTTTCAGTACTTGAATTCTTATTTAACTCCTTGATTTCAATTATTAACGTTTATTCATTCAAATACTTAGATACCTAAATATTTTGAATAAGAATTTCAAGTGATATTTTGAGTGCAATTCAAATTAATAGAAATGATACAAAGAGAGAGAATGAAGGAGCGGAAAATTGTTAAATGAAAATTGACGAAATACATATAGACCTGTGGTATGTTATTTGCACCTTTCCACTTATTTATATGTGATGCATTATTTTTTTTTTTTTTGCTTTTTTTATGTTATGATGCGCAGATGTACGTATGAGTAATTTTTACGTGTAAGAAAATGTATGCGTGCGTAAACACATCTAAAACCGTCTTTCTTTTCTAAGCCAGTTACCGATGATCATTTTAGTAAAGAACCTGCTGAAGGATTAGCTGTGGAACGAAAGCTATGTAAAGTACGTTTCACTCGAACATTGTGTTTATTCCGTTTCATCATGTTTTGGTATCAATGATAAACATAAATATTATAATTTGTTGCTTTCATGATTGTACCATAATCTTTGATAGGAAAAAGTGATCAGACTTCAGTATAACAAAATGAAAACTATTTACATATATGAGGTGATTTTTTTTTTTTTTTTAAATGATCTAATTGAACAAAAGTTGCAGGAATATTTAAGAATGCCAGAAGAAAGGGATGTAATATCTCCAAGCGATGAGGAGCTGTTGAAAGAATTGAAGACGGGACAAACTTTTTATTTAAAGGTATTCTTCACTGAAAATTTGCTAAAATTTTTCAATATTTATTTCAAAGAACTTTTTATAGTTTAAGAATATTTTTTTTATAGTTTAAGAATGTTTCTTTTATCTGTGTTTTTTTCCTATTTTTTTGTTGTTTTGTACTTATAGTTTATTAATGAATGATTTTGTTTCAGTATCTTGGATCAATGCAAATTTTCGAATCGTTAACGAAGAAAAAACCTGAGGAAAGAGATAACTGGACAAGGTACTATTTATTATTAGAAAATAAGTAGGTTGCTAAAACGCGTTTTGGTTTTTTTCAAGTTGCATCAATGATTTGGCTCACTGAAGCGATTTCATGGAAGTAATGTCTTGTTTAGTGTGTCGATAAATTTATATGTTTCAGGCATTGCATGTACCGTATTTGCCATCAGCTAGGTATATGTAAAAAGGATTCAAGGTGTGATGAACGGCTTCTTGACGTAAGTTACAATTTTATTAAAGGGAATTTAAAATAAGTTCATTGGAAAATAGTGTTATTTCGGATTTGTTAGAGTACCTCAGCTGTTTTTTTTTTCTGGATGGCTTCTTATTTTGGAATTATATAAGTCATATTCAATTTTCGTTTTCACTGAATTTATCAGATTAGATAGTTGCAAAAATAAAAAACTGAAGAAGTGATTTGGTGAAAAATAAGGGAGAATGGACTAGTTGAGTGATTGATTAACGATTATAATTAATTGATCTATTAAAGGACTTCATTTGTATGAAACGAATGAGCATACTGAATTGATGGTTTTTTTTTTCTGTTACTAAAAGAAAATTAACAAATCAACTGCAGAAACTAGGCGAAGTGAAGATTGAAGACAAAGATGTTGAACTGAATGTGGCGTTGCATGCTTTCATAATTCTGGATAAAGATGGTATACGTATTTTGGAACGACATCCTATCCATGTTATTTCATATGCTTCATCCGGCACGGAGGTTATCATTATTTATTTATAAGGAGAATTCGGAGTCTTATCTCTTTGTTATTGCATTTTATCATGCTTTTCTCTTATCGAATTATTGAAAATTTCTTTGATTTCATTGCTAAGCTAAATTTTGCATGTTGCGAAAAGCTGGTAGTACTTCCAGAATTTGTAATAGTAGATGCTTTATGTAAAAAAGAGATAAAAATTATAATTAACATTGTATTTTTCATATATAAAGTTAAATTATTCTAATCACTACTAATGACAAGTATTCTAATAACAAGTAATATTTGTCGGAAAATTCTCTTTAAAATATAGACGAATAAAAATAATCAAAAGTTTTTAATTTGATAATTTTTTGCTGTCAGTGCTGTGCTGCTCTTTTTTTTCATCTTTTTCTCTCGTTGCAGGAATGTACCAAAGGAGTGTTTTGCTTTGTATCACACGTTCGAGAATTTGGAAGGCGATGCCTAGTTTTTATGGAACCTGATAAGAATGTCGATTTTATTATGGAAACTATTCTTCAGATATTTCGCCTAAATAATAAAGGTTGAAATTGAATTCGATTTGATATTTTCTACTTCTTTTTTACCCGAAACTTAATGGGAATGCTGCATAAGAGAGCCACGTCAACTTGCATGAAATATTGATAATTGACGAGCAAATTTCATCCCGAAATAGTTTGGAGGGTTTCTTTTTCGAACACAAAAAATTCGCACCATATTTGGCCTAGTCCTATGAAGTTATCGTTTCTCTTGATCCCAAAGCTGATCGTTATCTTTTTAGGACATAGCAGTAAGTTAAGCATAACAATAGCCAGATCGTCAGAATCGAGTTCAAATTATGGTAAAACTTATATATTTGCTGTAAATTGTTATGTTTTTCGGCTTCAGTAATTTGAATAATTTTTTTTTTTGAATAATTTTAATTGAATAATTTTTGATAAATTTGCATCAAAGTTACAATACTACTAAAAGATTATCTTGGAGATTTTTCTACAATTGGAATAATGAATTATGCTACCATTACTAAAAGATGCGAATATATATGTTTATTACCATTACATTTATTCATATATATTCCAACAATTCTTTTGCACGCTCAACTTGCTATGGTATATTTTGTTTTTCAGATCATCAGATTTATGTTAATGTGTGTAATTTGCCAGCTGCCTTGGGTCTTGACAGGCAACCTTGGTATCATGGTGAAATGGAACGAGCTACTGCCGAATCTATGCTGCAACACGAAGGTGATTTCTTGGTTCGTATTAGTCCGAACACTGCCAATAATTTCGTGCTTTCCGGTATTGCCAGTTCAGTCCCGAAGCATTTCTTGTTGCTGGACGAAAATGATCAAAAGGTATTTTTTTCTATCCTATATTGAATTGTAATTGTAAACTAAAGAACGAAAAAGATATGGTGCGGAAAGTGTGGAATAATTTTGAGCATTCTTCAAAAACTGTGAATCTAAGAGCTCTTCTAAAGATGTTTAGTATGTGCATTTGTTTTCAATTATTTCATTAGATAATTTTAACCCTATATATAATATTGCAAAATTAACAATTAATTTTTGTAGGTTCGCAAGCAACAACAAGTATTCGAAACAATTGTTGAACTGATTGAGTACCATCGAGGGGAGAATGTGCCAATTATCTCGGAAGGTAGTGAATTGCATTTGATTCATCCCATTGTAAGGTTTGCCGCATCATTACCGCGCCGATAGATAGAACCGACAGAGCAACAAGAAATATGATTGTATGAGCTTATGTGCGTGCCAACCGAAATATATATGACGATAATTTGAGGTGTCTGCCAGAAAATTTGAAAAGAAAAGAGAAGAGGGGGAAGGGGAGCTGAAATGGTCGTACGACATCAATCGAAAGAGATTCTTTTTCATTAGATGGTATTACCTCTGTCCCGTCTTTATTATTATAACTTCTGCAACATCAATTACTGCTGCGACTGGTAATGTTCTGAAGGAGTTTGAATTATTGTAATTAATACCAATCAGGAATGTCGGATCGTTATTTACTTTCAGTATTCCTCCAATTGCTTCCGTTCTTACTGATCCCGAATTTTGTGCATTCACTACGTGTTCTTAATACTGTTGTATCTTGTGATCAGGTAAAATATTCCAAAAATTTTTTTAGTATTTTTGGATATTGAATAGAGTTTTTCGGAAGGTCTACTTTTTAAAAGTGTTAGTAGTAGGAAAATTGGTTAAACAAGAAAACAATAAAATTGACATGACAAAAAATGAATGATTTGCTTGGAACTGAGATCTGTGAAAAAGGTCATTGTTATGGAAAATAAACCGTGAGATATTTTGGCTTATTTTTTAAATATATTTTATACATTTTTATTTTGTGTTCTAATTAAAATTTATTGTTTTGATTAACTTTAGCATGTTAATTTGACACATTTTTCAAAGAATTGTCATGATTTCTCGGCATTTTTATGTGCTTTTTATGTTAAGTTTTCAACTTTTCCATCTTTATCGAAGAGAAACTGAAACTCGAATTTAAATTAGCTTATTGGGCAATTCTAAATTTTTGATTTTGCAATTTTTCAAAAGAAATCAAATATTTTTGATGTAGATTTAAGAAAATTATATTTTTGAGAATCACTTTAGAATAGCACTCGAAATTGAATTTTATGAAAAATATATCTTTCATGTGCATTCGATCAAACGTCTTAATAATTATAATTTAAAGATAAGAAAATAGAACAAATCAAAGAATAATATTCGTCAAACATTAATATTCATTTTGATGCATGGACTAGTAATTAAAAATACATGGTTGAGATTTTCTAGTTGCTCAATATTTGGTATCCGTTATTTAACCGGTGGCTTATGCAATAATTATTAATCGCATGTTTTAAACATAAGATTTTTTTTTCTTAATTTATTGTTAGCAATATTTTCCCTTCAGTCCGCTGTTCCTTTTCTGTTCAAGCACTGTAATTCATATCTGTACGGTACATTAGTGAATACGGCACGCCTCTTTTCTCGTATATCTTTTATTCTTTTCGATCAGCGAGTACCATTATATTAGATCGATTTTGATATGCAAATAAATTGCTAAACAAAAAAAAACTATTCAAAAAATAATATACGCGAAATTTTTTCTGGTAATTCTACGAAAAATATGAAGTAGTAATATTTCAGATAAATCGTATAAATTGAAATTTATTATAGCATGAAAAGTTATCTGTCAACTAATCGTATTTTTTTTTTGGATAGATCAGTAGTACCAGAATTGTGGTTCTTTCGAGATGCTAAAAATTAAAATATAGTATAGGATTGTTTTTATTTTGTCTATGAAGTGAGAGATAAATGTTTTTTTTTTATTATTGATTGTATTTTTCGAATACTGATAATCCAAACTGTTATTTTACTCCGTATTTCTCTTTATTCGGAATAGTTCTTATTTGAAAGCATTTTAATTTTTGTTTTTCATGAAAATTTGGATTTTTTTTTACAACAAATTTTTTTTTTTTTGCTAGTACTTTCCCTTTTATGAAGAGATGTATGATTATTGTTTTATCGGTATATCAAAACGATTAAAATTTATATTTTATTTTATCTAAAACATTGATAAAGTATTTGTTGTGGTGATTACTATGTATAATTATTAGTGGTTCTTTTTATTTCTGCATTCTTTTTATACAATTCTTTTGATGTTATTTTGGTAGAAATAAACTACCCTCAAGTTTACCGTACTGTGCAACTTTGAACAATATACTGAAAGTAATTAAAATGAAATCCAGCTAGAGCATTTGATCACCGTTAATCAACTATCAAGGTATGACACTATTGAAGTCAAATGTTTCCGGATCTTATAACTGATAACTGTGATCGAGGCCAAGTTCAAATTCGATAACGATATTCCCGGTATTAAGAAGTAGAAAAACTGAATACTTTTATGTTGCCGTGGAATCATTTTCAATGCGGAGCCTTATGGAGACTGATATGACTTTGTTGCTTTATGTGTACAAAACTAGTTTTAGTGTACAAAGTGTACAGAACTCAGAACTATTGCTTATTGCATTGCTAATCATATATGTTTGTTCCGAGAGCACGAGAGGGAAAGGAAGGGGATTATTGTAAATTTGATCAAAATAGTTAGTGAAGAAAAAGTTCAAATAAGCTGTGGAAGAACGATATGCATAAAATGAAGCGGAACAAATAAGATTTTAATTCTTCTCTTAGCAGTAATATACTGATAGCTTGTTTTATTAAATATGAGATAGTATATTGATTACCTTGAAAATTTGATTACCATTTATAATATTATCTTTCTCTCTTTTCAGCTCCTTGAAGATTTGCTCTATCACGGTTCCTGCTATTTAATCTTTTATCTGGCATATCTTTCTTGACATTGTTAACCATTTTGATGCTAAAATTTTCCATTTCCCACTATTTATTAT